AGGACTCAGAATGACAAAACTCTCATTCAAGAAGAGTATGGAGCACTGAATGGCAGTAGCAAAACAGCTGAGCTCGCCAATTTATTCCGTACCCGGGGTTCGTGTTGGAGCAACCATTTCAAGTTTATCACTACGCATGATGGAACATACTACGACGCACCAAGTGATATCTGCAAGGCTTTCAGTACTTATTTTGCCGAATCAATGCTCAAGTAATTATCAAACACACAAATATATATCATGCCGCAGAACAATAAGGATCTATGCACAATGGAATTCACTATGGCGAAACTCACTGGTAAAGTCTCGCATATAATCCTCGAGTTGCAAATGCCCTGGTGGATCCCGCTTTGTTTAATAAAAGCAGTGGTAATGTCTTCCTTCTGCTTTTGATCAACATCTTCACACTCTCATTTAACAACGGAGGATACCCTACTCAATGAAACCATTCTGTCGTTATCGCGCAACATAAAAATTGCACTGTCCACGAGATTAAAAACTTTTGTCCCATCAATCACGTATCCATGCTAACTGGAATAAAGAAAAGGTTGTGATAGGTGAAATAATTATATCCTTGAACGACGCTAACATCATCAGCAATTCGCAACATGGCTTCATGCATGGTCGATCCTGCGCAAGATGCCAGCCTAATTTTTTAAACCACACCACGTTTGCCATTGTCAACGGAGACAGTGTCGTAATGCTGTTCCTGGATATGCAAAAAGCCTTTGATAGAGTGCCTCACAGAAGGTTACTAAACACAAACTGAAGGCCTTAGGCACTGGCGAACTGATGTTCTCTTGGCTGTCTTCATATCTACTTGGTAGACGACAGATGTTGCGCATAGGCGACCAGTTCTCTAAACAGAAAGCAATCGCTAGTGGAGTAATTCAAGGTAGTCTTCTTGGTCCACTTTATTTTTAACATATTAACTAACGATATATTTCAAGAATAAGAAATGTTGTTACACTTAGCTTTGAGATGAGATTACAGTTGTCTACTCACAACCACGTGTGAATACTCAGGAATCCTTACGTCTCATTCAGAATGACCTATCTGCTCTCGACTCCTGGTGCCAACTGTGGCGGATGTCATCTGCCGTGGACAAGTGTAATATTTTGTCGTACAAATACCAAGTACCGCCAGACAGGTTATTAGTACAAGACACATATATCTCGCAATGTAGGGCAGTTCGCAACTTGGGCGTGGGATATTCAGTCACATTTAACTTTTTTGAACATTGTGACTTTCAACCTTCGAAAGCCGTGAAGAACATCAGTTCCATCTGCCATCATTTTTGCTTCACGGAATCTCGCATATCACTTTATAAAACATATGTATTGCCGCGTACGGCATAGTGTCCAATGGTACAGTCTAATCTGCGGAAATCTGACCAGCATGCTCTTGGGATGGTCCAGAGACGCTTCACGAAAATGTTTTGTGTATATTCTTGGAAGTTAGTTTAAGGATAGCGGTGTGATAAACTTGGATTTGACCCAGTTTGGATTCGGATAATAGAGCTGGACCTGTTTTTAACTCACAGCATCAAAAGTTTTCAAATTCGCAGTCTTGATAACGATGTTTACAAATCTGTAAAAAGCAGATATCCAATACGTAACAGACAGGTTCAGTTCATGATTACAAAATTTACTACGAGAATCAGAGAACGTTTCTTTCTAACTCACTACTCAACCATTTAGAACAAACTTCCAAGTGATATCAGAACATGCTATACACTTTGCAATTTCAAGTTTGCGATTAGCAAGCACTTAACTGGCAAAACATTCTTATTATGTTCGGGACATCACAGTCCCTAGATAACGCATTCGGAAACGGCATCCAATGTACTTGAATAAATTTTCGAAACACATACACATAACTTTTCGGACAACAGCTCTTTCATTACATTTTTTCTCGGCCCAAACATCTATCATATGATTGTAAAAAATCCTGATTCAATAGCGGGAAAATAATAGCGGAAAGATTCTGAGTACTCTGTGTTACTTAATTTGAAATTGCGCCCATGTTTATTTCTGAAAATGTGTTAATGAAATTCATGGAAGTATTTCCATTCATTGATCCGTTCCTTTTAGGGAACAGGTTCTCGCATGGTCGAGGAATATACACCCTTCTTATTTAATTCATCAGTAGTGCCTCTGGCTCTTCTCTATTGGGTGCGTATTTTTACTAAATTCATAAATACTGTCATTTGGATTGAGCAATACATTGGCCAGTTAGCGTCTCCTGGCCAATGCATTAAGACGCCTTTTGCTCAAAATTCGAGTATAAATTATTTTGTGGGCAACCTTTCTTCCATGATATTGCGTTATGATGCTGTAGAAAACGATATCCGATAAGCAAGGACAGTGTGTATAACTAAAAGTAATTCCACGCGGCATATGATAAAGCTGTACTGGAAAGCAATGTTACTTCATTGTTACGTAAGCGAATTTGGTCACGTTGGGACCGCGATGCGTACGGATATCAATAACTCAGGGTGCACTGGTGGTCATTCCAACCTACACGGAACAGTTACTCGTGCTGTGTGCGGATTGCTGCACAGTTGGCGAAGGAATACGGGAAAGGCGGAGTGCGGGAACTCTACCTATTTGGGCACAGTGCAATTATAGATGCGTGCAGCTTACAAAGGTATCATCAGATAGTACAGAGTAGTAAACGTGAGTAGCTGCAGAATCAGTGCAGTTTAAGATAGGCAGTAAATAGCGGTGTAGGGGAAAACATATAGTGATGGCAGGAAAGCAGATCATAAATGCGGACTGATGTAAATTATATATGTAACCAGCGCAAGTTGATGTAACAACCTGGAATACCGCCACGGAATGAAGAAGTCTCGCTGTTGCTCCTCGTATGATCGGTTTCGACCTCTTTTGGACTCATCAACCGTCAAGGAATATTTGCCTAATGCCGCAACGCGCATTGAGCAATACTGGAGCAATGAAACTGCTAGGGTGCGGAATTAGACGTTAAGCTTTTCCATCGCATTAAATTAAAAATACCTTGATTATATTTTGAAATTACTAGACACAGACGAGTTATTGTTCTTATCAGGCTGCCCAACAAAATCGAATGATGTAGAAATTTTTTCATTTTGCAAAACTTTCGCATTATTTTCTGAGGTGTTTATCAAGTTAAAAGTAAAAATGTCTCGAGAATAATAAAGTAGCAATAAAGCATTTGTAGTCGGCAGTTCAAGCAAAGTAACACAATTTTGCGTGGAACCGTCGCCTGCGCACCAGCGTCCATGCGATGTAGTCCCTCGAGAGGTTTCCCACGCACCACTGCACCTCATCTCGTCATACTCTGATGTGGTTTAAAAGCAAGTTAGCCTTCATCAGATTGACTCATATGTTAATGCCTGGCTTTATGAACAAATATGTCATCATATTGTAGACCCTCTATTTTTGACCCTGTCATAGGGAAAGAGGCCGTCACTAAACGGATGCTGGTGAACAGCTGGTAGGCTAACACTTTGAGGATGCAGCTAAATGGACGGAGATAAACACTACAACCATTCAGCCCAACTCATTTGTGTACAGAATGCTTCCTTCGCCAGTGGGTCTGGGGCAATTTGCCTTGCGTGGGTGTTGCTAATTAACCTGGAAGCTTTAATCATCACATCAGGATTTCCTACCAGTCTTGTCAGAAAAAGAATGAAAACCACAATCATTAAAATGTGATACGCTAGGCTAGAATGAGATGTAGTCTGACAGTTGTCTTATTCAGTTGGTAGCAAGCAACAAACGCAATAATTAAGCGTCCGAATTATTTATAAGTAGGGCAATTCCTGGTAGGTTTTCAGGTGATATCGCCAAGAGAAGCTAATCGGGAAGAGAGAAGTTGAAAGCAAACCGGACTTCACCGAGCACGGAAGACTGCGGCGATTACCTGATTTGGGAACTCCAGGAAAGAACCAAGGATAGTTGGTAGTGCACAACGAGTACAAAGAAATAAAATGGGCAAATTTAGGATACATTCTCGTTTCGGCAAGTTCTAGCATAATATTATACCGGAACTTTCTCGGTATTAGACAAAATAATTTATTCCTACTATTAATTGTGAGGGAATCCATCTCAAGGAGCGACAGAAGAGAAGAGCGGGCATCCAGATTAAATGCATCTTGCGATGGTTCATAAGGATGTTCATTTTGTAGTTTGACTCAATATATGGTTAAAATTTTCAACTTTGAGAACTGATCGAATTGCTTTCCGCAAACTTATCCCATATTGAAAGTTATGTACAGTACTTGAAAGTCTATGCCGTAATACGAAGAATCGGTAGAGGAAACAGTTGTCCGACTGGTACGTTTTTAACTTATCAGCATTACTGTATCGTTGTTGTTTCCAATGCCATACAGCCGATGCTTTGAGGAATATTGCTAGACACACTGTATGTCGTTCTTGGCATGTGCACCACACAAATCTACAAGATTACGCTTCAATCGTCGCAGCCATAGTGGCTCAATCTGTAAAGTAATCCAAAGATTCATCTATGATAATGTAGTTTAATAGGTTAGGAGGCGTTTAGTGAATGACCGTCAAACCACTATGTTATGTGTTTGATCAAGTTGTCATTGAGGTTGGATCGTCAAACATTTGTTGTCGCTCCGAACTCGATACTCCTGATTTCAGCTAGATACTTCGTTGCACCTCTTTTAATCTATGCAAAGCAGGCGGCAACACTTCTCTAGGAAATCTACGAAACAAATGGTGTGATTACTTTGTGCGGTATATGTTAAGTAAACACGAATATACCGCTAAACAACAGTGATATCATAACGGAGAGTGCATCATAATTTGAACCTCTTAGCATGGAATCTCTCTTCTGATTGGACCGAGTGTCAACAAATAATCTTTCTCTTGCTATTTGTCTGTGCATGTTGAGTAAAGTGTGGTTCGTTGGCCGACTTGTATTCGTTCAACGGGCGTCATTTGTGAGCGTATATATAGAAGGTGGTCGGAGAAGTATCTAACAATCTGAAGATGAGGACGTGTTTCGGTCTGGTGCGTATCCGTTTTCTACCAACCTTCTGTTTCAGTATGCCCTCATACTTTGCTCGAGATTAGGAATGCCCTAGAAATGCATTGTCCAACAATAGCAAAGAGCCCTGGTAACTAGGACCTTTTTGATGCCGCGTGTCGTTTAGTTGTGTGGATGTAACCATTATCTATGCTGTTTGTTGCGCAGTAGCTAAGATATCATGAAGGCGTACATAATTCAGTGATTTCGGTCCAACTGTCCATAAATATACTTTAGAAAACGCTGACATCAAAACTCCTCACTGCGTATTACCTCGCATTTCTTTCACAGCTTTTGTTGACGCTGGTCGCTGTGCGCGCTTCACTGATAACATTCCAATCCCGAGATGAATGTATTGTTGGATGCGCAAGAATGTGGGCCGATTATATCCAAATGTGTTTGAGCCGCCGTATTGGGGCTCCATGTATTAATCTGAATGAAAATGGCAGGGGAGTTTGCTCAAACTATTGCGAGAGGTACTTTCCGACAACGCCGCATCGGTAGTTTTGTTGCTTCGTCCATTTCGTTTTGTGATTCACACACGCCGAGCAGCGAAACAGCGATTTTGTACTGCTTCGTTGGATTTTCTAAATAAATAGATAGTCGAGATTGATTTGTTTTCTACAATGCTGCTCTTTAGTCATTTGCAAAATGCACGAAAATTCATGTGTCAGTAGGGAAGAGATCATTATGAAAATTGTTTTTGATGGCTATGCACATCTATAGAAAGAGTAACTAGCCACCTGCGATGGCTGGTGAACAACGCAACACAGGACACAGCGGATGTTGAAGATGGATGGGTAGCATTATTCCAACTATCAAGCGAGAAATTTTGCGACGCTTCACCAAAGAGATGATGGATTAGCATAGCAAATATTAAATAGGTGATGTGGTTTATGCCGGATGGAAAAAGCAGTTGTCTGACAAGTCCCGCAGCACGATGGGGGTAATACTACAATTATCAAAAGATAGCTGAGATGTCTGTTTGAGCACTTATCTAGCAGATACGCTGCTGAATAATAGTAGCGTGTGGAGTTGTATGCGTAGGACGAGAAGGCAACATAGGGAGAGTTATAGTTGTTGTACTCCGTGAGAAAAGTAAATTAAAATGAAAATACTCACTTCTGTACCGGCTCCTCAGGTTTATGTAACATGTTACTCCAGTTTGGATGGATAATTAATATATTACAAAGTTGCACGGTTTAGGCATCAAAGTGATGGAGTCCAAGGGAAGATCCAATCGTTTTTGGAGATATCCAAGTTGGAGGAGGAAACAACGAAGTTTAGAAGGGAGTTTTGGGTTAGTCATCCCAAAGAGAAAAATAATTCCGTCGGCATTCCAGGCCGCTATACTGTGCACACAATTTCAGATGGTTACCTCTGAGATTGTTGTTATAGCTGAATTTCAGCAAGTGATGGTATACGTGATTAGGGTCATTCAATATTTGGTACTTTAAAATGAGATCGCTGCACAGCCTTCCGTTGCAGGTCACTGAAAACCCAGTTAATTCAACCATTGATGGTAGAACAAATTTCGTAGAACATTGACGTTCGCTGTGTCCACGCGTTGTGATTTCTCTAGCAATTATGATTCGTATTGTAAAGCGCTGAAACCATGCCGTGTTCCTCCAAATACTAAGTCGCTCAAGCGCCATGCTCATAACATACTGGAAACTGTTCAATCACAAATCCCTGAAATAGAATGTCTGCGTTTACCTTAGAGGTCAAGCGCAGAAGATTTCGATACAGCGCAGCGCGAGCATTTAAACAATATGTATAGGAATTGTGTGCAAAGGTGGAAGAAGAGAAGTACGCTAAACTGCTTACAAGCCTAGAATCAAATCAATCAGAGCCTAAGTTTCCGTTTGATCCAAAAAGGAATGTGCACAATCCAGCCTACAGCTGAAACATGTGCAACAAGCAGCATAGGCACTTGGACCAAAAGTTTGCTTTTCTCAACCTACTTGTAGACAAGTCCATCTAAAGACACAATTTGAACTTCTGATGCAACAACTGAATGAGCTGACACCTACTTCTTTGCTTAGAAAGGAAACATTCAGAACCACCCTGGTTCATCTCATGCAACAATATATGAGTTACGAAGCCAAATATTCAAATCTCCTGACAAAGAAACACCGTGAGGATGTCAAAGAATTGAGATCTAATCCCGTTGTGATAATTTCCGAACCTGATAAAGGATAGGGATGGATGCTGATGGATAAATCTGACTACGTCTCTAAGGTACATACCAAATTGTGGGACACGGAAAAATCTTTGCGGCAAACGGTACAGAAAGATAAGACCGCGCAGGATGAGCACAAAATCACGCAAATATTGAAGGAGTTAAAACCCATGTAGCTGATAGATGGCGCAGTACTGCAACGGCTAACTGCAGTTGGATCATATCCTCCCTGCATTTATGGACTACCTAAAGTACACAAACCACAGGTTCCTCCGCGTCCGATAATTGACATGTCGACCTCCGATTTTCACTCCATTGTAAAATAGATTGTAGCTATGCTGGAACCAGCACGCCGCGAGTTATGCTCTTACGCTTTGAAATACACATTGGTATTTGTGAAACAAGTCGAATGCATGAGAGTAAATGGTAAATTGATGCTTGCTTTCGAAGTTTAATCACTTTTGCGAACGTTCAGCTGATAGAGACGGTCAAGATTATTTCTGATTACTTACACCATAGGAATATAAATGTGGGTATTCCAGTGCAGAAACTGAAGGAATTATTCTTACCATGTACATTCAGCAAACAATTTTCCTTTAATGGAATCTACTACCGACAGATGGACGGAGTCGCGACTGGGCCTCCTCTTGTTCCGTTTCTTGTTGACATTTTCGTTTCTATGTTCGAACATGGACCTATAAAAAGCATCATCTTTTCATTTGCTTTCTACTATTGATACATGGCTAACACGCTTATACTCTGTGATCCAAACACATATTTCTCCAGTCTGTTGAACCAGTTAGATAATGTGTATGCATCTTGGAAATTCACCAGTGAAATCGAGAATAATAGTAAACTGGTCTTCTTGGACGTTTAACTAAGGAGAAAAGAATACCTTTCACTAGCAAGAAGTGTGCCTCGGAAAACGACGTGGGTCGGTCAATGCACGTATTTTCTCAATTCCGTACCTCTGGAGTACAAAGGGAACCCTGTTCGTTCCACGTACTTTTGCGTTGCCAAAATATATAGCCCAGAGATATTGGAGGTTGAAAAGAACCATATTTTCGAAACGCTGCAAGTATAAGTTTATCCAGCTCATTTTATCTGAAAGCACACAGAAATTCATGATCGTCATGCATTCATCAAGTCTGTCTCGAAGAAAGTGGTGTTACTATCAGTTCCCTTCAAGGGAGCTATTGCTTTCGAGTTGCTGAACAAAAGCGTTTCAGCTGCAGTAGCTCGAAGGTTTCCAGCTGCATACCAACACATCATTACCAAAGCCGCGCCGTTTGTTGTTCAGCATATCAAAGACAGAGTCCCGGTCCAGTCCAAATCTTATATTATATGGCAATTTACTTGTACGTGTGGCGGGAGGTACGTCGGAAATAGGACTACGCGTTTGGCTAAACAGATATCGGAGCACCGTTACACGACACAATAGTAAGGCACTATCTGTTGTATAAAGGGTTCTGTTTTAGTACACCTAGATGAAAGTGGACAACAGAGCAAAGCTTCTGATAACTTCAAAGTGCATTCTCCTGCACCAAAACGCCACTCCAATGAGCTTAGGAAACGGAAGTGACAAACACACAAATCCGTTGCTCTCAGTCTTACAAAATCTGAACTATGAGAAAAGAGGGCGCTTATTCAAGCGCACATTCGGCATCTTCCGCACTTCCAAATGCACAGCGTACGCGCTGAATTGCTAACTGTTCAATGGCGCAAATTGCTTTGCCGTCAGGGGTGAGATGGGACATAGGCGCCACATGTGGGCCTACGATCACAGAGCACACCAGAGCCCTTCGGCTGTGAGAAGTGAACGTTAGCCAGACACCACAGCCGCAATGAATGCGTCACGCCTCGACCGCATGGCAATACCTAGGGAACGCAAGACGTTCAGCTGTGAGAACTGGACATGAACCGGACACCACGGCCGCACTGCATGTGCCGTGCTTCGAGCGATCGGTAGTCGGCCTTCAGCATGGGAAAAGCCAACAAAACGGTTTCCTGCGCAGTGTTTGGTGGAGCGCCGTATTGATACCACCACAAAAGGTGTTATCGCCTCATGAATCGCTTCCAGCAAACCCGTAAGAACTTAGCAGGTCGCTTTCGCTGCTAGAGGCAATCAGACTGATGGAAACGCACTATAAATTACAGTGTTGTTCGCTTTACCATTTCGATCGCGTGTGTGTTACAGCTGAAAACTCACCCTTCGTTGGTGCATAAAAACGATTTCTTGACTTGACTTGACAGTGCTCTTAGATTTCAGTCTGTCCCGACGCAACGCTGGCACCATCAGACAGCGCACCAATTTAGTCATGAATGCAACTATTGCCCTCACAGTCAGTTAATTGATAATTGTAAAACTTGATCAAGTCTTCGATGGTGTTTCTCGTGTACAATGGAGCTTATACGTTTATTCATTTCCTTAATTTTTTAGATGAAATGTGTCCCATGTTGGCAAATATCAACGAATTGGATCTTCGAATTGCCCGCCGACGTTTTGGCTACAGAGGAACCGTCGCCGAATGGTGTTGACGAGCACGTTTGGCAATGTCTCCAACAAAAGCTGCCTATTTTCGTTCATAATGTTCTTCTTCAGTTTAGCCAGGCTTTTGGGTTTCGTTCTAATAATTCTTAGCCTTAAGTAGGTATCCATGGGATTAAGATCCCGTGATCGCACAAGCCATGCGATCGGTCTTCCGCGACCGATCCAACTTCCACCGAATGTCTCGTTCAGGTAAGCACGAACAGATTGCGCCGAATGTGGAGGTGCGCCGTTGTGCT